CCCCCCCCCCCCCCCCCCCCCCCCCCCCCCCCGCCCCGTGCACGTTCCGGCTCTCGCTCCTCCCATGATCAGAGTCACCGAGGCGGCCGCCCTGGGAGTCGGGCAGTGGGGCGGCTGCCTTCAGCCGGTCCTGCCCTCTCCTGCCCTCTCCTCCTATCTCCTCCTCTTGGGAAAGCATCACACAGTGACAGCCACAAGCATAGCTGAGATTTCTACCGCTTCTCCTTCTGTACAAGCATTTCCATTTCCATTAGCTCCCCGGATCCTCATGCTCGCGCTGTGACTAGGTGAGACTGACATTTCCTTTGCCCCATTTGGCAGCTGAGAAAACTCAGGCTAAACTGATGGAGCTCCAGGTCACACTGTCAGTGTAGGGCAGGGCCAGCTCGGTCCAGGTCCCGCTGCAGAGGAGCCCAAGCCCTTTCCCACTTCAGGGTCACTTCTGCAGCTCCATGCAGAATAACAATACCAATTTCAGCCAACGCTTGCTGAGCCCTCACCACGGGCGAAGCACTTGACGTGGATGCCTTCACTTTTAATCTTTATAACCAGCCTACAAGGAAAGTGATCGTCATCGGCACCAGAACAGGTCCGGGAGTTAACTCACTTGCCCAGAGCCATACAGATGGTAGGTGGCAGAGCTGGGACGTGAACCTGCACATTGACTCAAGGCTGCTCTTGTCCACTCACTTACAAGAACAGCTGGCCTCCCACAGCCACATCTGACAGTTCGTACCAGCCCGGGGAAGGAGGAGCATCCGCCTGACTGGGAGGGTGGGTGGAGGGCTCCCTCAGACATAAAACACAGCAGTTCACGGCTGGGCTTGGGCACAGAGGCAGCGGGGGGCTTCCCAGGGCAGGAGCCAGGGGCACCCTCTCCTCACAGCCTCATTTTCTGGAGCTTGTTCGAAAGAGCCTGGGGCACACGAAGCTGGGAGGGTTGGATCCCACGACAGCCTCAACACCAGAGAATCAAGAAGCCTGCAGAGTCAAACCACCCCAAACTTGGGGTCATTGGCCTCGCGACAGATAGCCCTGGAGAATCTGAAGGGGGAGTGGCACCCTGCGAGTCATGACCAAGGATTCAAAATAAAGTCATTCCTCAAGCATTTCCCAGAAACCTTCCCCCAATGCGGTAGCAGCCCCTTCCCGTGAATTCTCACATGCCTGCCTTCGTGTACAAACTCAAGTATGTGCTGCTTTAGAAACACAAAGACATTTTACCCAATAAATTGGCTGCTGTTAAAATATTTGTATTTTAAATAAACTTTTAAATTTCATGTTTAATACTTTTTAAAATATTTTATTTATAAATATTTATTCTTAATAATTTTAACATAACATAATAGCTAATCTTTAAAGTATTGTAATTATATATTTAGGTAATTTGAAATAATATTTCAAAATATTAAAACATTTTATACAAGTTGGCTCCTATTTACAAAATAAGTTGGCTCCTTGTTCTTGTGTCACAAAAGAATTGAAATGGAGTTAATGAGAACTAGGCATTGAAGATCCCCAAAATATCACTGTCACCTTTTTCCCTATTCCCCTTGTGCTTTGGAACGCCTTTCTCTGTCTTTTTCACCTGGCAAACTCCTATTTGATCCTTCAGTACCTAGCTCAAATGCCTTCACTTCTGGGAAGTCTTCTCTGACCCCAACCTCAAGAGTCCCTCTGTACACTAGGTCTTAATTAGAGCAAATAATATTGCATTATAACAGTCTGTTTATATACCTGTCTCCCCTTCTAAACTGTGAGTATCTCAAACACAGCCACTCTCCCTTTGTTCTATCTGTACCTTCTCTTCCACAGAAGCTGGGAAGCTAAAACCTACATTTCCCAGACTCCCTTGCAGCTAGGGTTCTGGATGCAACTTAGGTTGAACCAGTCAGAAGCATTTGCATGCGACTTTGATTCAGAGCTGTGTTACAGAAGAAGAATGACAAGGCTTAAGGCATTGTTTTGCTGGTGCAGAATGTGGCAGAGGTGGCATGGCTCTTGGAAACTGCAGTGGTGGCAGCACCTTCCTGATGATATCAGAGGCAGAAGTGTTCACAGTGACCTCACTTCACAAGGCAGATGGGGGAGGTGTTCCTGGAAGCTCAGCCTAGGGTCTTTCTTCAACTTTCCGAAAGATTCTGAGCTAGCGGTACCTTTAATAAATCCCCTTCTGCTTTAACTAGCTAAAGTGGATTCTTTTATCTGCAGCTAGGAACAAGGGTCACCCTGGGGCCCCCCAAAAACCCCACGAGCTTGGCTCTAACTCATGTCGTTTTCCAGTCACACAACAGTGAGTGAGGTCTGGTGTCTTATCACAGAGATCATCTTTTGCAACCAGAATTTAAGCCCTTTGGAATCCACTGGGTCATCTGAAGCCATGACCTCAGGCTGCAACCAAGAAAAGCTCCAGATTCAAATGCTGCCAGAGAGAATTAGGAGAAGCCTTATCCTAGAGTTCTCAGGGAGTGGGGAGACTAGCAGACACACCTCAGATGTGCCTCTAAACCAGCTGTGTGACTTTGGGTAAATCACTTCCCCTCTCTGGGCCCCTTCTGTCTCCTCCTTGAAACAATCTGTTTGAACTAGGTGACATCTAAAGGCCCACCCAGCACTAAAATACAATCCCAAGCTTCCCTCAGGGCTTCCCACTCACTACCCAAGCCAGAAGGACACCATGAATTAATGATCCACAGCAAACAGAAGGAAGAAACTCTCAAAGGAAGTTAAAACCAAGCAGCACCTCCCTTCGATCAGCCAGCCCTCCACTGCCTCTGCAAGGCTGTCCCTGCCTTACCTCCGCCAGCCTCCACTCGGTCTGCCTTTCTCCTGAATCCCCAGCATCCCTCATATACCCTACTAGGCAGGACAGCGATTCCAGATGGCCCTGTGCTGTGTGTTTGGTGGCCATCAGGTAGAGAGGCTTCCAGAACTGGGTTGACATCCCTTCTCTGCCCCTCATTAGCCACCTTAGGCCCATGATTTTTCTGAGCTTTAGTTTCCTCATCTGTAAAATCAGCATTAAAAATGTAGTCCATGTGAGACAGGGCTGAGACAAGATATTGATGAGAATTTCGGGGAAAGCACTAGCCCAGTGCCTGGCACACAGAAAGTGCCCAAGAAACGTTCATTCCCTTTTTTCCCCTTTCTCCTGTCATCAAAGGGCAAGAGCTGCCAGCAGATGCCCAGGGAGTCAGAGACTTGCTTACGGTCCCTCAGCTGGTTGCTGGCAGAGCTGAGTCAGCGATGAATAACTCAGGAAGTTTCTCCACCATCTGGATCGGCTGGCATCCTCCTTCTGCTACTATTAGTAAACCTCTCCCCTGCCACAATGTGATAAAGCCCACGCTGAGTTCTGCTCGGATGTGGGGATGTCCTTGATCACGTATCTCTGCTGCAGCTCCGTGGATTAACTGTGTGTTTCTGACGCTTTGACATCTGGGGCCTTGCTGACCCTGGAGAGACGGCCCCTCCCAGGGCTGGCCCATTCCAGAGATGGTAAATGACTCACTGGCCTGCGAGCACACCCTTCATACGCAAACCAACCAATCCAGAGCTTACATTCCACCACCACCACCTCCTCTCACACTCAGGGCCACTCTCCCCATCCCTAATCACCCTAGGGCCAAGAGCAAGAAAACTAGGGACAGTTCCCATGCCCCAGAGTCCACTGAAATTATTCAAACGAGCCACACCTAAGCCTGTTCACCTGCCACACCCATTCCTTCCACAGAAACCGCAATAAAGGCTCTTGCCCACCTTTCTCCTTTGCTCCCTCCACCTCCTGACCAACTCTGGTGCTTCCCCATGTGGCCCTAAAGAACACGGTGTGCCTCCTGTTTCTAGGGATCTGGGAGAATGAAAAGTCCTTCCTTCAGGACAGGCATTTCCACGTCTGTGTCTCTTACTATACCTGATTATAAGAAATCCCAGGCACCCTGAAAACACTCCACATGGTACTTCAGTCAAGTCATCAAAACTGCTCCATGCCTAGGTCGAAAGCTTCAGTTTTCCCATCTGAAAACGGAGCTCGTAGCCCTTGCTTCCTTCTCCCTTCCTACTTGGGCTTTGCTTTTTTGGGCTGTACTCTCCATGTAGGTCTCTAGAGATGACTGACTTGAGGAAATAAGATTGCAAGAAGCACTGCCACACTGGGTCACCTCTAGATTCTGCTTCTGACAGGATGCCCAAGGACCGCAGCCTAGAAGAAGCCATGGAAATCCCTGCTTGGTCTGGATATAGACCATTATGCAGACATCAAAAATGATGCTTAAGTTTTTGTGCGTAATGACATGGGAAAATGCTCACAAGATAACGTTGAGCGGAAAATGCAAGTTACAAAACTGATCCCCCCCAAAATTATATATACGTACATGGATGCACGGAAAATGAGAAAGACTGTGACGAAACATTCATAGTGCAATTCTCTGAGTAATGGGATTATGATTTTAAAAACACTTTTCTGTATTTTTATAAGTTTTCTGTGATAGAGTCATGATTCCTTTACTATTGGAAATCACTAATAAATGCTCTTTTATTTTAAGTCACAGATCTCTCTCTAAATAGCTCAAGCTTCCCTTTAACCTGCTAGAAGATTGCCAGAAGCAATTTCTCCAACCTCCTTAATTCTGTGAGCTTTTCAAGGTGAGTTAGC